GTGTACGGCGACCGGACGTCCGAGCCAAGCGTTGCGTCGCCAGGGTGCGACTATCGAAGGGTGGTGGTTCCTTGGCGGTCCAGGAGGAGTGCACGGTTCATGGCTTTGAAGGACCAACAACGGCGATGATGACACGATAGCAAGTGTTTCTCGAGAGCCATATCAAACCCACCAGTCATCTATAAAGTATAACATCGCTCCAAATGAAGTTCTTGAAACTACACTCAATGAGACAAAGAACTCCATTCACGGAGGGATTATTCTCATGAGTCCAGTTGACTATTATCCTAGAATTGTTGTCGGACCCTTGATCTTCTCTTGCACGGTCCGGCTGTAATGTCCTTTAGCCATCTTGAGCCTTGTACTCTCTGCCATGCATCCTACCCTTTACTCTGTGTACACCGTGATAAACTCCTTTTTCAAGCTGCCTTTCTATATAAATGGATAAGAATAAATGCCTCATGAATGAACATTGTTTTACTCCTCAGTAATAGTCTCTCTTCTATCTTTCTCACACGCCAAGGCATCACGCCTATTTAGTCTTTGCTCTACGCTATGCTTATCAAGCTAATGCTTATCATGAGCACTCACAGACGCGACCCTTCCACTGCGTCGCGTGGGGTTTTTGCCTGCTCCCTTCGGGCTTGAACCGTGCACCCCTCCTCCACCGCCCTGGAACCACCACCCTCCCATAGTAGCACCCTGGCGACGCAACGCTTAGCTCAGGCCTTCAGTCGTTGAACACCACGGCCGTTACGAGACTCTTTCCCTCATTCCATCCACACCAGCTACTGCTTAGAATTAGATGCTGACTCACACGCGCCCAACAGCTGCTTATGCTTTTTCGTGGTAAATATGACTATGTATGGTAAAAGGATAATTCGGTTCGCCAAGGTAAGAGGGGAAAGGGAATTCCAGATAAGATGCTGACAAATAGTTGGGTTTGTTTCATTCAGACATCAGCTAAAGTTGTTGCTTAAAAAGTGTTTATAGCGACATCCACAGATTAGCAAAGTTCTGGGACGTTTAATTTTAAATGCGTTCAGACGCAGCGGCTTGTCAAATACTTGGGAACGACTTTCTTCTAATGGGAAAGGAAAGTCTACAGTGCCCACCATTGTGGCGCATAAACGAAGAAAGTTTCCGAGTCAATTCTGCTTCCTTCGTCGTCTTCTTTATTCTTCCGTCTTATTTTTCGGTCTAGCAATTGTAATACCCTTCCTTGCCCTCTACTAACAGACGTGTCCAGAGGTGGTACAACTGTACAAGCAAAAAACGAAAAGAGCGACGGCAATGTGGGATGCGGATATCAAAAGCCTCTGGCCTGCCTTCGGATGAGCCCACAAATTTCTGTATGACCTGCATGAGCACCAAAGGAATAGTCCCACCTGCGTGAAGAAGGAGCATTCCCGTTCCCATCTTCCAGCAGAAAAAAGAAAGAGCAACACGATGCAGTTTCCCAATTATCATCCTGCGCACTGCGTGACGGTGCATACCCACGCATACATTTAAAGTGTAAAGGCGGTCGGTCGACTCAATATTGAAGGACCTGTCTCGATCTCACAAAAGCAGTACGGTCATGTGCTAGAGAGGTCTACAGAAGATGTCATCTTCATAGCTGGACAAATAATGGAAATATGCCAAGAAAAGCGTAGTCTGCTAGTTAGCATTAAACAACTAAAAAGGGCTTCCAACCGTCCACCCCGACTAGATCTCTGAAAAGTACTATGATAAGGAGTTTTGGAACACTTGATTTTCCTGGTGAAAGAAACGGGAAGAGAGAAGGGGGAGGATATACAGGGAACTGAGAGCAAATCTACTCGACACTGTCCAGTGCAGAGAAACCTGATAGAAGCCGAGAGTTATGAATGAGGTAACCGCTGAGTTAACAACATCAACATTATGAAACGACATTTACATCTTGTTTAAAAACATAATCAAGTAATAAAATTAGAGAAATATTGAACAAACTGTACGAAATAAGAAAATCAAAAACACCTTACAAAATCACCAGACTGACTGACTGCTGAGGTAATAGTCAACAGAGATTAGCGGAAGACTAGAAGTCATGATTTAAGAAACAGTGCATTCAAAGGGCGCAGTTAACAATAAAAATAGCTTCTGAGTTCTCTCCATAGGGATAATCAGTGGCCCCGGGGGGACAGAAAGGACGCTGTCGAGTCCGAAAAAATAAACAGCTAGGGCATAGTGTGAGCGAGCTCGTTTTCGGAACGCCCGGGCTTCCCGCCCCTCGATCGATATCATGTCAGACCAAAGTCGAGGCGATACAGATTGCTTCGTTCCAGGACCCACACACAATCAGCTGATCGCCGAGTGGTGAGGCGGTGTTTTTCTCCTGTTCTTTTGTTCAATTACTCTCTTTGCTACTGCGACCCTCAGTTACTTCGCTTTGATCGCACTAAATTGAATCTTATCGACCATTTTTCGTCATGATCTGGATTACCCAAAATTAACGTGAACTGTGCCTTCAAACGCAGGGTTTGCGCTGAGATGAAGTAAAATTGATGATTCAGCCTGGAAATCAAAAGATTTTTTTCAGAAATTATGTAAGGTGGACATTGACGGTGTGATTTTAGCTGGTAAAGACCAAAACATCAGCTTTTGACACTCCAAAGATGGCTTTCAAGTTCAGAACTGATAAATTCAACTTCAGTATATGACTATTAATCAAAAACAGAACTTTTGTCACGCCATAGCCAACTGGTACCAATCACTGTGCCGGTTAACATTTATTACGAATTGTATTAGCTGAACTTGATATTTTACAACATCCACCGTTTCTTACAGCGGTTCATTCAAAAATAAGGATATTAAATAGGATATCACAAAATCAGAAAACTTATCACAAACTGCAAATAATGACAGGAAAATCTATATGGACAAAACGGTGAAGTAAAACGGGGTTTACCGAGAAGCGTCAGGGTGATTGAAACTGAGGACACGCAAGAGGGAAAAACAGTAGCAGAAAATAATAAAAGCGAGACCGATCAAAGTCAGTTTACAATACCACGTTCAAGGAGATCCATTACGTCTTCCAATTTGTTATTTCCTCCCAAAGCCTTGATTTCTGTTCGGATATCAGCACTGATTTTGCGAAGTCGAGACAAAGTGTAGCTGAAAAAATGCAAATTCTAAGAGCTATGCTCAGGCTACTTTGAAACCTGTGCCCATACAGGGGAACCGTATAGCAGTTAGCGGATTATCCCTACGTATTTTTTCAGCTTCAGTTCAAATTTTCTCACCTCATCAACTCTTGGTTACTATTCATGGCCCTACATTAAACAACCCTATTTTTACGGAGCGGCTATATCCAGTACACTACAAGGGGCATATTGTGCTGCAAAACCAAAATCAGGACGACCACGTTCCACATCTTACGACGAGTCAACGCAGGCAATGCAGAGAGTTTCCCTCGAAGTGAGCCCATTATAATTCTGGTCCAAGATTACTCGAAATATTGGGTTTTCAGACCATTACGCCAAGTAGATGAGGGCAACTTCTAATTGGATTAGTGAAAGAACTCCTACTTCGGATGAAATAAAATGTTCGCTGCTGACTGTCTAATCGATCAACTTACTCCAGGGAATGACGTTCCTTGATGAGTTTTATGCAGTATTTCTTTACCTCGATGTCTCCAGTTCGCTGACGTATAATATCTGGAAACAGCATACCATAAATTTTACTATATCCAAGAAAGGGGATAGGTCACATAAGTATTCAAAACCCCACTACGATTCTGAATTAAAGTCGAAAGCGGGGTGCACCCCAAAATGGGATGGGTAAGAGCCAAAAGGCTGTCCCTTTTATCGTGAAATTAGAGAAATATGAAGCCCTTAAGATATCATGCAAGCAAAACCTGTCAAAGGTGGAAGGGCTCCTAATTATTGCAGAGAGATCTTGAAGATGTGAGGAACAGATCATTGAGCAAGATCACTTATCCCAAGATATAACGTCCTTTTGTATGTTTTATCAGTACTGATATCTGGTTCAAACGCTCAGCAGCGAAGCTAGTAGAGAGCTGAATATCCCTATGAATAAAGTTGCTTTTTGGTGACGGTACTTTCCGTTTGAGGTTATGACCGAATCTGTTCACAGCCACAGTCGCATTTGGATACGTATGGGGCTAAACGAAGAATTCTCGAGCCAGCCTGTTGCAAATCAGTGTTTGGATGTAGAGCTGCTACCAATGAATGCCTTGCATTAAAGTTCAAGGCTGTTATAGCTCAGAGAACTGTTATTTTTTGTGATGACATTCACTCATGCCGCTAGGTGTGGAACAGTTTGGCTTTCAGGGTCTCACCAAGCGAAGATGTCGCAGTTAACAATTACCGTTAGGAGCATATTTATTCATCCGTAGAAATGCTTCTCCTCTCGAATTTTTTGAACCTTCTCAGGGGCAGATTACGGGACCTTAGCCTGTGAGCTTTGACGGTTTGTGGCCCATACAAAGACCATAAAATAGACCCTGCCGGGTAAGCAGACGTTTAGAAAGACTGAGAAAACAATTCTCGTGGGAGGAGATCAGTCAAGAAATATGCTGTTTTAGACGTAGCCAGAATACTAGCCCATGTATCTAGGTGAGTTGCAATTCAAGAAAGAACATTACAAAAACTTATAGCACACTCCATATAAACAGCAAACGTACTGAGGACGGGGTCATCGTTGCTGGATGCCGGTGAGTTTCGTATAGCGTGAATAATGGGGAAAGAAAATTTCCCTTCGGTGAGATCCTCTGCGAAAGATTTCTGCTGCGCCATTTCGTCCGAAACCAGATTCATAAAGTCGTCTCTGAAAAATACCCCAAACATCATATGGTTTTTCTGCTATTTTTTTGGGAACGAATCGTTCACCTCCTTCTTAGAAACAGAATTATAACTTGTGTTTTCACCTTATTTGGAAGAATAACGCCATTTGCCTCAACAACTTGCAGAAATCGTACTTGGCATTACTGAAAAGCTCCATCAGCTTCACTGCAAGGAAGAACAACCCACCAGTTTCTGAAAATAAATGAGTACTAAACAAGTTTTTAATGGAACAAAAAACAATTTGAAATGAGAAAGTAAGAGAGAGACACTGACTTTGGACAACCATTTCTTCATATTCTGCCTCGGTTGGGCATGTCACTGTATCTCTCCAAAAAAGTTCTTTCCCTTGACCTCTGTGCAGCTCCAGCATTTGCTCTATAACATCTCATGCTATTTCCAAGTCAAACCAATCTTCCCAAGTCAAAGCAATCATCAAAGATATCAGAAAGCAACTTGTCCTGATTTCTGGGTGTAAATTGAAATGAGCTTTAATCCATTGGCGACCGCGCTTTTAAATTGTTCTAATACTCAATTTTCTATTTTCTCTTGTATCTGTGGTTAGAAATGAATGATTCCTGGACCGCAAGGCTTCAAGAATCTCTAGAAGGCTGTGAGCTCAGCTGATACATGAAAACATGAAAAAATTATAGGAACACCTGATAACTAATATAAATACCCCAGCGAGCCAAAAACGTGCGTCCTGGCATCGGGACGCATGGTTGCCAACGTGTTAATGTAATTGCTAAGAGTGTCACAACAGTCGAAACAGCCGTTGAACCGCTCCCAATGAGAATGTCCCTGGGAATTCTCCCTAGAAAAAATCCGTGACCCACAATGATAGCACAAGGGATGTTGTCAGGCCGAAAAACGGCTTACATAGGGCGTAACAA